ACGGTATATATATTTATATATATATAAACGGTTGTACAAAGAGTGGGACGCAACGGCATTATTTTTCTTACCAGCTCCGTTTTTTTTACTGCAGTGGAACGCAAGGCATAGACCGTTGTTGGAGTGCGGAGCGAGGAGTAAGTTATTCGTTGACTCCGTTAGTTTCTTTGTTTGGTTTGTTTTTGCCTTAGTGTTTCTAACGCATAGTTTTCATTCTGCTGTTGTTTGTGGCGTGGATTTTGTTCGGTGGTGTAGAGTGTTGCCTCTGTGCCTGTATGTGTCTTTAAAGCGCGGATTCAGCGTGGATCAGTGAAAAAAAAAAAGTTCTGATTTGCTCTCCCCCTCCCCCCACCCCACCCCTCAATGATGCCTTTATATTTTTCTGGTTGGGAGAAAGAGAGAGTGATGGTTCCGTTACGTTGGTTGATGTTTGGCGACAAATCGCCTTCATCGCCTTTGGTGGTGGACGGTTTATTTCTTTATTTCCATCCTCACCCTTCTCCCACCCTTCTTCTGCAATACAAGCACACGGTGTACATGGGGAATCTTCTGGTGTCGGCTGACGTTGTTTACTTCTTCTTCTTTTTATTATGCCCCGTTTACTTGTTTGTTTTCCCCCCGGCTTTAAACGGTTTCTTTTTCCTCTTCTCTGCTGCTTTTACCGGCTGGGAGGGAGAGGACCTTTGGGGGAGGGGGTGGGCTGGTGGGGGTGGGCGGAGATAGGGATACACACACATACGCGGAGAGTGGGGGAGCGAGGGGGGAGCACAGGCGCAGACGTGTTGGCGGTGGCGTTGGAGTGTGGTTGTGGTTGTGGGTGTGGGAGGGGGTAGAGGGTAGAGGGTACTTATGCAGCAATGGCGCGTGCGACGTGTCTCATTCCGCGTTGACTGGCTGCTCTGTGGCGTTGGCCTAATGTCTGAAAGAAGATCGGCTGCGTCTAGCAGGCTGTGGTGCGCGGGGCGGCAGTGCGCGGGTCATGCATTATCGCATTTTTCCACTGAGGGCGCAGCCAGTGAAGACACCAATAGCATTCGCCGCCACTGCCTCAACGGCAGCCAAACTGCCTCTGCTGTTGATGTTAGCTTCTCTCCTAAGCGTGGGGAAAGTAAACGCTTGGCACCGCTTTTGAAACCCGAAGCAGCGGAGACACGTGCCTCCTCGAGTGCATGGGATTTGCAGCAGATGCTTTTTGGCATCAGGGATTTTCACACAAGGGCTGTAACGTATGTGGAGGCGGAGGAGCGATTGCGCGGTATGCGGCTGCTGGATGAGTGTATGATCCAAAAACTGTTTTTAGATAGCGGTTGGGTGCGTCAGCTGCAGGATAGCGCTGAGACGGCACCACAGTACCGCGGTGTTGTGGGCGAATACAAGATCCTGCGGCACATGCTGCATGGCTTCCTTTCAGATGAAACCATGTGGCGGGACGATCTACTCAATTTGTTAGAGCTCCTCCTTGGCGCCGCAGTTCAGTCAGTGTGTCCTTTATCCCATAGAGACGCGTCTCAGCACACCGCGGTGCAACCTGGCCTCCTGCCAGGGGATAACTCTGCTTGCGGTAATAACAACGATAACAATATGGACGCGCTCCCGCTGAACCTCCCAGCCTCTCTCTTCACAGGACCCGAAAAAATGAACTTCTACTCATACGGTCTGCAGCATGTTTTATGGGATTTCCTGCACGTAAAGGCGTCTTCGCGCGGTAGCACCTCTGCACTCTGGCTCGCCTTTGTGGCCTCCCACCGCAACCTACTGTCGCTCCCGTCCCCGCAGCGTCCACCGTTCAGTCGATACGAGTCCCATTCTGGTCTGCTGGGGGTGGAGTTCGTCGAGGTGACGGACACCAAGCAACTCGGAAAAAGCAGGGAGAACCCGATTACGTTGGCGGGTGAGGCTGCGCCTCACGCGTCTGAGGCGTGGAAGTTGCCGAACGACGGGCAGGCTGCGGCCTCTGGCGACGAGGAAGACGCCGAAACGACGACGGCCTTGATGGTGGACAATGAGCTCGGGAAGCCGTACCTGCGCGATAGGTTTTACATGAATGTGGTGGAGCCGGGCGAGGTGTCATTTCTCATGAGCGAGACCACGCCGGGTGACGTTCTTTCCCGGGCCCACAAGGAGCACAAGGAAGAACGGGGTTCACACGCGTTGGCGGTCTCTTGGCGAGGGGAGCGCGAGCTGCTTAACCCTGTGAACGGGGAGTTGGAAGATATTCATCTCACGCATCTCTGGGGCGTCTTTCAGGCGATGACGCTGGAGGACAGCATCGACATGTACCGTGCCGTATATCACGGAGATCTGGAAAAGTTACAAGAGGAAGTCTTCATGGACGTACTCGCAAGAACAGGGCTTTTGATGCTTTTTTTTGCCCGTGACGAGGTAAGAGCACTGACCCCGCCACACATGACATTTCGCCGACTCAGCCGACTGTATCAAGAGCTAACCGTACTGGTGTCATGGGCCTCCACAAATGACTACCGCCCGCTTCCACCACCCCCATCGTTTGACCAGCTCACTCTCTCCGCCCAGCTCTCCTTCAGCTGCTTTGCTCAGCTGCATGCACCCGTTCAACGAGAGTTGTACCGATCTGCTACGACTAGTATGTCTCCGGCACAGTTATACTACTGCTACTGCAAGAGTCACCTGCGGTTTGCCGTGCAGCCAACAGCCTCTTTACAGGATGACAATAACGAAGATGCGGATAAAACCCTTTTGGGTGAGAGGTCTGTCGTGATGGGCCATCGTAAATTTCCTACATTTGAGTGTCTTAGCGAGCTTCAGCAGATGGCGTTTCAGTATCCCTTTCAGGATGCGGTGCCGCATTCCTCTCCACAAAAAAACATAGAGAGAAATTTAGCCAAGGATGAACTAATGGATAACGCAGCAACCCACCAAAGCAATACGACAGAGCTCATTCCGCTTGATGTGTCTGAGTCCGCTCCTGCAGTCAGGCGGTGTGGGCGGCCACGAAAGACGGCGCAGGCGGAGCCCGATGTGTCTGAGGAGTCCGCTCCTGCAGTCAGGCGGTGTGGGCGGCCACGAAAGACGGCGCTTCCCATGTGAGGTGACTTGGTGAGGCTGTTCCGCTGTGGCCTTTTGTTGGTGTTAACACGTGTGCTGCACCTGACTATTGCCCCTAAAAATTTTGTGTGAGCGTGCATGTTTTGGTTGTCTTTTTGAGGGGTTTGTATGTGTGGTGGGTTTGTAGAGTTGCTATCATCGTTATTCGTTTTTTCTTTTTTCTGGGTGTGTGGATCGCTGGGAAACCGGTGTGTGTGTGTGTGTGTGTGTCCATTGCCGTTTTTTTTTCTTTTTTTCTTGCAGAGCTTCAGAAAGAAGGAACGAGGCAAGGGAAGGAAGGACGACGTGGTCTGGAGATTCGCAGCTGCCGTCCAAACAGCATCTTCACGTCGCACCGTTTTATTTGCCTTTTTTTTTCAGCTCACGTTTTTTTGCGTTTTATTCAACGCAGCCCGACTGCACGTTTGCAGTTCAGACCTGAAGGACTCCGGTTGAAGTAAACTGCGGGCCCGCCATTGTCCGTCGCGAGAGCAACCTGAAGGAACTCACACACACACACACGCAGAGAGAGAGAGAGCGGGCGAGGAGAAAAGAAAGGACGAAGGAATACATAAAAAAAAAAAAAGAAACTCTTAGGGAGCAGGAGTAAAATAATTTGCCAACGTTATGCGACGCGTCTTTGCAGGTTTGCGTTGCATCTCGCGCTGCCTTTTAGCGCTGTCATCGCGGTCTGTGGCGTCCTACCCGTCTCCCGGGACGTCCCGCAATGATTCCAGGAGTGGCCGCAAGAAGTACAACTACCTCAACAGCAAGCGACTCGTGGAAACGGAGAGGGGGCCTCGCAACCGTCGCGAGATTCGCCTGCGTGAAGACGTTTTTTTCCATCGCCGCATTCAGTTTCGCGAATCGATTAACGAGTGCGTTGAGAAGGAGATTCGTTACTTCCCCGAGAGGGTGAAGCAGTACGTGTTTTACAAGAGTAGGACGGAGAACTCCTCGGCGAACGGGTTCCACGGGATGCGGAAGGCCCCTGGCTGGGTCCAGCGGCGCATCCTCCACATCGTTGAGGATGACATCCTGAAGCAGCAGCATCGTGATCACCTTGTGGAACTGATTGAGAGCACAGGCACGGTGCCGCCAACGGCGGAGGAGTGGGCGCGCTACACGGATAAAGAAGGACGAATAACGATCAACTTGTACCACCACCACTTTGTAGAGAAACACCTGCGCTTTTTCTGTACGGGAAAGAAGTGCCCCGAGCAACACAGATCCTTGCAGGCGTTTCTGATGCTGAATCGAAATAACTTTGATGTCTGCCCCCCGATGCGGACATGGTCGCTGCGCCAAGGGCCTGTACGCGACGAGGAACTCGTAGAACGCAGCACGCAAACGGAGGTGCGCGACATAATAGCAGAGTTGGCGGAATTTCAGCGCTCCAACGTGATGCGGGTGTATGATAAACTAACGCCGAAGGAGAAGGAGGCGCTGGTGGAGCAGGCGGAGAGTCAGCGAGAGGAACTCCGCCATGAGTACGAGCAAGAGCGTCTTTTTGGGTCAAGGTTGATGTGTGGTGTCGCGGCGCTGAAGGAGGTGCGCTCAATGACGAGCCCGGCTATCACGTATTACAACCAGGAGTACCACAAGTATGTCATTCGCTGCGGGGGCTCGGCGCAGGCAACGCTGCGGCGCTCAAAGGATGTGGTGCCAAGTTGGTTTACGCTTCCGAAGGAAACAAGGATAAAATACTACTGCTTTGGGAAACACAATGAGATGCACCCCGTCAGCGGGGCTCACCTCTACATTCGATACTGTTCTCGGGACTACGGCATGTGCCGAGAGGACTCGATGGAGCGGTGGTCGGAACTGTCAGATTTGCAGAAGGCGGCACTTAACTTTTGTTTTTATGCGCCCATCTCTCCACCACGTCGGTCCAACAATGCCTTCCGTCGATTTTACTTTAAGCAATGCCATCGCCACGGCCTTGTGATGACGGGGAGGGCCTGCAGCAACCACGCCTTTCTTAGACGTGCGCGCAAGATATGGATGGGCATGTCTGCAGACGAACGTGCACAGTACGAAGATATGGAGTCTTTTTCTTCTGTATTCCCTCTGCAACCGTCGTCATCGTCTTCCACCACGAAGGGACATAGTGCTGCTGCCACGCAGCGTATGCTTGACTCGTCTTCTACCGCTTCCTCAGCCAGTACTGCGGCGGGGATAGTGAAGGCACAGCGGGGGATGCAGACGCCTGTTGCCTCAAGCATAGCGCACAGTGCCGAGGCAGTGGAGGACACAGATGAGGAGCAGGAGGACGGCCTGCTTTACTTCAACGATGAGATTATAATTGACGATGAACCTCAACAAGAGACGCAAAAGTATGTGGCAAGGACGCTTTCGCACACGAAGCTGCCTGAGCGAAAGGAGGAACATGTTGTCTTTACCGTTTAGGCGTCCAATCCCCTTTTAACCCCCCACACACACACTCATGGGCTTTTTACTTTGTGTTTAATGTCAGGCATGAGTCGGTGGTGGTGGCGGCGGTGGCGGTCGGCGTGGCGCTGCTGCTGCGCGCGTGGCTGTGGCGCGATGGGGAGGGAGGGCGTTGTTTCCGGGGGGGGGGGGGAGTGGAGGGGGGGGAGGCATCTGCCCATGTGGAGGGTTTCAGGGAGGACGCTACTTGTACAGTTACCGGAGGGGTTTAGAGGGCTTGGATGGGATGGCGTGGGCCATTGCTAAGTTTGTATCAAATTAAAGGGGAATGGCAGTGCTACCGCCTAAAAACAAAACATCAGAAAAGAAGGAAAGAAGTAGAAAAAAAAAGATATATAAAGAGGCAAAGAACAAAGGAGAAGAAAAATAAGGGGATTCCTCTTTTTTTTTTTTTTTTCTTTTCTTTTTGTGTGTGTCTCAGTGTATGGAAACTTGCGCCTTTTCTGCCTGGGAGAATATTTAGATGATCACGAAGGTGAGGGAGGGTGGGGGTGGAACAGCACCCCCACCCCCACCCCCCTCAGATTGTGGTCCTCTTAACAACGAGAAGGCAGGGATGGGGAGAAGAAAAAAAAAATGGGAACACATAAATGCATGGGCCACATGAGTTTACTGCCTGGAGATCCGTAGTGTTTTCCTGCTGATGTTGTTTGTTTTTGCTTTGCTTAATCGCCACGTGGAGAAGGTGAGGGTAGAGGAGTGCGTCATGGTCACAAATACGCATTACGAGAACCGGATGGAGCCGCTCTCGCTCCATCGCCCTGCGGATCGCCACGTCTGCGCACAGGGCGTTGCGTCACGAGATAACATAACACGGGACACGCGTTGGAGGCACTCCTCCTCTTCTGCAGCGTCTCTTAGCGTCGGTAGCGACCCCGCGCCGCCTGCCAGGACCCGGCAGGGGGTGATTTCGGCTCCCCTGCTGTTGTCACAGCGTCATTGCATGGGTCGTGGGGGGGATTGCGTCTTGGCAGATCGTGGAGGTCAGCATCAGCAACAAACTCACCTTCCGCCGTCGTGTTTTCCGTCATGGCGGGGTGCCGGAAAGGCAGGACGCCGTGACTATTTTTCTGTTCCGTGTTCCGACGACTCTCGTGGTGCGCTCATGCAGTCAGCATCCCGGCGAGAGGAGGTGCGAGAGCTGCAGCGTCTGTGGCGTGAGATTAAGTTGCAACGGTTTTAGAGGTGCTTTTCCTCTCGCCCTAAATTTCCCAACAAGTCGGAAAGAAAAAAAGGGGGAGGTGTATGGTGTGTGTATTTGTACTTGCGCGGGTGCCTGTGGTCGCAGATCACTGTTGTTGTGTTTTCTCTCTGGATTTTGTGCGCCACTCTAAATGGGTACTGCGCCGTGTGACCGCTGCAGTCTCAGTCTCTTTTGCTCTGATCTTTCTGCCCGCTTCCTCCGTGTGTGCATGTGTGTGTGCGTGGGAGAGAGAGGGAGAGGGAGAGGCGGCAGACATTGCCACTCGCTACGCCCAGGGCATAGGGGCCGCGTCAGCTAATCGTGTAAGAACCTGACTGGTTGTTCTCTTGCACCTCTATTTTCTTTCTTTATATTTTTTTTTCTCCGTATCTCTTCTTGCCGCCCACTTCCGGCGCCTTCTGCGTTGCTGCTGACAAATGTATCCATGTCCGTAGTGGTACTGTGGTAGAACCTTGGTGGGAACCAGTAATTGACCACGCCACGGGCGAACTCAAAATGCGGACAACGGCGGAGGCGGCTCATGGCGACGTGCGGCGGCAGACACTTGCAAATCTGCGGCGGCTTGGCTGCCCCGATGAAACAGCACTTCGACTTACTCTTCGTTGGGGAGCAGACATCGAGAGTTGTGTGCAGGAGCTGCATCGAAGGCGTCGACCGTGTTTGATAGCGCTCGACGTCTCTTCTCGGCAAAAGGATTACCTGAGCCACGTGTGTCAGTCCATGAGGCCAGTAAACAAAACACAGCTGCCGTGTTTCCGCAAGGAGCACCTTAACGAACCCAGCAGCGGCTACCCGGCGCTGACCTGGGACGCCGTGGCGAAGCGGATCAACTTCGGTCCCCGGGTTGAAATTTTTTTTCTTGATGTTTCAGCTGACATCAGGTGCAACCGTGACTACTACGAGGACTACTATCAACATGAAATTATTGCAGGTGGATACGAGGACATTTTGGCCTTTATCACGACTGTGGATGGTCTTGTTCCGCTTATAGACTACTTGCATGCCAGACACTTTGGTACAATGCCGCCGCACCGTCCCTCTGCTCCGCGAAGGCCTCCTGCCGTGAGCAATAACGGGAGCGGGACGATGCCTGCATCCCGACCTTGCAGCAGAGGCAATACGGAAAGGGTGCAAATAAGTCGCTCAAACGTCCTGCACACCTTACGGCGTCGTACCCGAATTCTTTTTGGAAACGATCCATTCACCTCCGTCGTACAACGACAAGATAAGGATGGCATGCAACTGACGTTAAAGGCCCATGGTCTGGCATATATTCGAGGCTCTGCTGGATTTAACGCTGCGGATGCGAAGCGCTGGAAAGAGCAGCATGGGATTCCATTTCCTGTTGTTCTTAAACCTGTGAGTGGTGCAGGTTCTGAGTTAATGTCTCTCTGCTACACAGATGATGAAATTGATGTGGCATTTGCGCTTACATCTGGCGTGAAGACAACCCAAATGACTGAGGCATCGCACATGGTTTTACAGGAGTACATTGAAGGTCCGGAGTACGTTGTTAATGTTGTGAGCTACAAGGGCAAACATGTTGTCACTGACGTCTGGAAAAGTTGGAAGTATCCAATGTCGTTTTATGGCGCCTGTCTTCCTCCTTCTGCAAAGGAGCAACTAAAGAAGGAGTCTCAAGCTACGGAGCGTGGTAAAGTTTCTGCTCGGCACAACAGTACAGGAATTATTTATGACCGTATTGAGTTTGTTCACAACTTGGCACAGAGGGACCCGGGGAGTGAGGTGCGACGTGTTGTGGCGTACACCCTTCAGTGCCTTGACGCTCTTGGTATGCATCAGGGATGTTCACACTGTGAGGTTCGCGTCGATAACCGACCTGGCAGTAGCACACTTGGGATGCCTATTCTTATCGAGCTTAACCCGCGCGTGCTTGGCGACACCCCTCGCGCCACTTCTCTCGTGGGCTACGACCAGTACATGCTCTTGATGTATTTGGTTTTTGCCGCCGCCGTTATACCCGAGGAAAAACGTTCTCTCATTTTGCCTTCTAAGAGCTGTGATGGGAAAACAAATGCAGAGGGTGTCCGGGATTTGTTCCCATGGCCACCTGCCCCGCTTCTTTATGCATCGCTTACAACCGACGTCTCGTGTCACGTGATTTTTTTGCGCGCTGAGGAGAACAGCGTGGTGTGCAATATGGGCATTTGCAATATCGTTGCGCTGCCAACCTTTGGGTACTTTACAAGGCGCAGAGATCTCAACGACCTGGGACAGTCGGGCACCCTAACGCACGTGGCGAAAACGGTAGACCTCTTCAGTTCGCCGCTGGCGTGTGTTCTTAACGGTGCCGAGGCGGATCTCCGTCGTGATGCGGCGTATATTCGTCGTGTGGAGAACAAGGACTTCAAGGCGTTGATTCCGCCCCTGAACGCCGCACTGGAGCTTCAGTTCACCACCCAGAAAATGCCTAGCACCTCCCCTACATCTTGCTTTTGCACTGAAGCGTCCGATGGCGCCGACGTTGCCGCAGAGGAAAAGAAGTTACAGTCCACATGCAGTGCCTCGAAATTTGATGCCGCAGTGAATGAAATTGTGTCTTTCTTCACGCAAGCGGAGCTTCCGTTGTTTGTGCCTCTGAGTTACTTCATCGATCTAAAGCTCTTGGGTCTTGAGCACCTTGTCTTGGGCGCCGCCAGCAGAGCTTGACAGGCTGCGGCTGCGGAGCTTGAGGGGAACGCACAGGAGGTGGCGATTAGGAGTGTCGGCGTGCGATGGGAGGGTATGTAGAGGGAGGTGGTGCGGTGTATTAGTTTATTTTTGCCGCGTTTTCTTGTGTTATATTCCCGCCCTGCCGTATTGGTAATTCCGAGGTATACGCAGAGACAAACAAATGCACACCTTTTTTTTTTCTTGTTTTGTGTCTTGTTTTTTTTTTCTTGATTGTTCTGCGTCTCTTCCATTCTGCTTTACGACTTTCAATCGCTTGCAACCGCACGCAGGCACGTACACGTCCACACATCATGCTGAAGTTTGTACTGCTTGTGAGTGTATATAAATCTATATGCATATATATGTTTGTTTCCCTGTCTTTCTAATTGCTGTGGTGAAAGCTGCTTTGCAGTACGTGTGTGTAATTCATCGGAGGATGGGGGGTGGGAATGGGAACGAAGAGGTGGTGAATATGGTGCCCACTCCCACACTGATGTGTCCCTCGTCTGTGCCGATGGCTGTGATTGTCATGGGCCCCTCAGGCACGGGGAAGAGTACTATTGGTTCCCTTCTCGCACACGAGATGGGCTGGCACTTCGCAGACGGCGACGACTATCACTCTGCTGACAAGGTGCGAAAGATGGCGGCAGGCGTGCCGCTGACGGATGAGGACCGCCTGCCTTGGCTGAGGCGTCTGCGTACTGAAGTCATCGAAGGCATCACAGTGGAAACGGGCAGCAGTGTCGTGCTTGCGTGTTCCGCGCTGCGAAGGGTGTACAGAGACTTGCTGCGCGCAGACAACTCAGAGAAGAGTGCACGCGTGATTGTTTTTTTTGTCGAGCTTGTCGGTGACCTCAGGCTCGTGGCTCGGCGCGTTCAGGGCCGCCAGCACGCGTACATGCCGGCTAGTCTACTCCTTTCTCAGTACGCCACGCTTGAGCCGCTGCAGCTGGAGAAGGGCGAGCTTGGGATGCGAGTCTCCGTGGAGCTGGGGCCGGCGGAGATTGTGAGGCGTGTGGCATCGGGACTGCGGCAGAGGCGGTGGCTGCACCTTTAGGGCGGCACGGAAGTGAAATGCCCCACCCACCCACCCCCCACCCACCTTCACCTCCATCTTTTTTTTTTTTTTGGTGGTGCTTTTTACTCGGGGCGCTGGAGCATTGCCTGGCTGCATTTCGTGGTCCGGCGAAAACCGTTTCTTGTTATTTCCTCCTTTTCTCCTTCTCGCGATGTCTCGTGCTGTGCCCGCCTCAGGAAGAGTTACAAACAGACAAAAAAAAAAAAAAAACAAGATAAGGCCGCACAACCACACACAGAGGCGTTTGTCCATTGTGCACACCCAGCGACATCGAGGCACACCATAGCAGAGCTGCAGTAGGCCGACGTAACACCAACAACAAAAGGAGGGCCCACGTTGTCAACATGGCGGCGAAGGAGTACGATAAAACCCCTCGCCTGACACTTGAGTCCGTCATTGGCTTCGGGGGCCGCATTCCAAACAGCATCATTGCCCACCCGGACTCCGAGCACCTCGTGTATGCGTTAGGCGCATGCATTGTAATTCAAAAGATAGACGACCGCTCCGCCTCCAGTTTTCTTTACGGCCACAACGACAAGATCAGCTGCATCACCGTGAGCTCGAGTGGACGTCTTATTGCCTCTGGGCAGGTGACACATGCAGGGTTTCAGGCGGATGTGTGTATTTTTGACTTTGATGAACGCCGCATGGTGCACCGCATGCTCCTCCACAAGGTAAAGGTTCAGGCGCTTGCTTTTTCAAAGGATGAGAAATATCTTGTGTCTATTGGCGGCGTCGACGACAAGGCGGTGGTGGTGTGGGATGTTTCCACCGGGCGCCCTCTCTGTGGTGCCCCGGCCCATCACACAGAATCCAAGACGGTGATTTTCTTCAACAACAATTCTGAAAAACTCATTACTGCTGGTGTGGGGTCGCTGCGAGTCTGGACCATTGATGCCGTAGATCGCAAGATGAGCCCAGATGACATCAATATGGGCAATATCCGTCGATGCATTACAACCATTGCCGTGGAAGAGACGGACCGCTACGCCTACTGTGGCACCACCAGCGGTGACGTGTTGTGTGTGCTACTGGAGCGGAATTCCAATACCTACAAAATGAGTGGGCCAGCGAAGAAGTTATCAGGCGGCATTACCTCCATGATTGTCGTGCGGTCTGGTGATGTTTTGGTGGGAAGTGGCTCTGGTGAGGTGACGTTGCTCTCCAAGATTAATCTGGCAGTACTAAAGTCGGTAAACGTGGAAGGAAGCGTCACTGGCCTTGCAATCGTTCCGCAGGGCTACATTGTGGGGACCATGGAGAGCAACGTGTACCTTGTGGAGGGCGGAAACTTTAATGCGGAGTTGCGTTTGACGTGTCACAGCGATACTGTGAATGATGTTGTCTTCCCAGAGGGTTTCAGTGCCCTTTTCGCAACGTGTTGTGGGCCTGACATTAGAGTATGGAATGCAACCACCTCCAACGAGCTACTGCGGATTCAAATTGCTGGTCTCCTATGCAACTGTGTTCAGTTTACAAAGGATGGCTCTATGATTGTCTCTGGCTGGGATGATGGAAAACTGCGCGCCTTCGGTCCACAGTCCGGCAAGCTGGTGTTTGCTGTCAACGATGCGCACAAGCGGGATGCCATCAAAAACGCGAGTGGAGGTGCCGGTGGGGTGACTGCGGTGTGCGTTGACAGCACCTCGCAACGCCTCGTCTCGGGTGGGGCAGACGGCCTTGTCCGGTTCTGGCAGGTGCAGGGTAAGACGTGTGCGCTGGAGGCTTCCATGAAGGAGCACAAGGCCACTGTAAACGCGGTGTGTATTTCCAAAAACAACATGGAGTGTGTCAGTGCCAGTGACGATGGCAGCTGCATTGTCTGGGACCTGGTCCGGCAGGTTCGTCGGGATGTCATCTACTCCCAAACGCGTTTTCGAGCTGTGGAATACTTCGTAGATGAAAGCCAGCTGCTTACGACGGGAACCAACAAAACCATCACGTGGTGGGACATTGTTGATTGCGGGGCCATTCGCGAGATCCCCGGGAGCAAGACGGGTGAGTTGAATAGTCTCTCCATCTCCACCAATGGACGCTTCTTCGTCACAGGGGGCAATGACCGCATCGTGAAGGTGTGGAGCTACGACCAGGGCGTCTGCGTCGCCGTGGGTCTGGCGCACAGCTGCAACATTCAGAAGGTGCGGATCTCGCCGGACGACAAGAAGATCGTCTCCGTCGGGGATGAAGGGGCAATCATGATTTGGTCCGTCGACGACCTCGACATTCCTTCCCTGCAGAAACTCGCTGAAGAGTGACTGAGTGGCAAGGGGGGAGGGAAACCAGCAGCGAGGCAAACACACATGAGAAGAGACGAAAAAGGGGGGTGGGAGGGGGGACATTATCCGATGTAAAGGGGTTGCCGCATCGCAAAATAGAGAGTGCAGCAACCCAGCAAGAAGCAGCAACCCAAAGGAAGGAAAAATAGAAGTAGAAAGAAAGTGAAGAGGCGAGGGATGATGGTGATGGCGGCGGTGGGGGGGGGGGGGAACAGCAGGACATGTACGGATCGGTTGAGGTGGGGGGAGTGAAAAGGTGCGCCAGCTCAGGCCCATGGGAAGGAGAGAACTCACTCAAGTGAAACTGTTGCAGCAAACATGGAGGAGAGGCAGACAAGCGAAAGAAAATGGAAAACAATTTCACTACATGTTTTGAAGAACTCCGCTGCGCATACGTGTGGATGTGCGGCGCCCCATCTGTTACTGGACGGTTTCGGTGGTATAAGCACGCACACGCAGGGTGAGGCAGCAATGTAAACAAACGGGAGCGAGAGAGAGCCCAAAAACAGGATGCTTATCTTCATTCTTTTTTTTGTCTTCGTGTTTTTGCTGCAAGCAGAGTCCGTTTCTTTGTGTCTGTGTTATTATTATTATTATTATTATTTCTTTAAAACTGTGACCCAATTTTGATTGACGAGATGTATGAAGAAGTAGAAAAGGTGCGGTGGGTGACTTCATGTGCGTTCTTCCCAAGGGTGTGCTTTTCCTGCGGTAATGACTTTCCTCCATGTATGCCCCTATCGTCATATTAGCTGTGTGGATGTAATGCGGGTTTCCAATGTCTGACGGGGTGCAGTGTTGATGCGGAGGCGATTGTTCCCTTGACGGGAGGTTTCTTCTTGAGCCTTTTTTTTTTTCTGTTTTTTTTCTGCGTCCCCATGTGCATTCTTTTCAACGGGCCAATACAACAAGGGGAGAGAAGACACTTGCGTGCGAGTAGGGAAGTAAATGCCCAAGGTGAGATTGAGTGATGGAGAAGGGAGGCACATGGCCAAGTCATCCTAACTTTTTTTCTTCCTTAGCGCGGGATGCGATTAGGCGGGCAGAGGGAGGGGGGGGCTCTAACACACCCCATGCATCTACCGAGTGCGAGGATTTTGGTGGCTACGACGGGACGGCGATGACGCGTGTGACGTGGAGTTGGCAAAGATCTGCGACGCCTGAAGCTGCGTAAGTCAATGTCAATAACTTTGCCCGTGACTGTGACTCACAACGACTTCATCTTTGTGGTGGCGAGGCGGACATGGGATGAGGTGTTTCTTCCCGTTTCAATCTCTATTTTGGTGTGGTAGTCGTTTCTGTTTGTTCTTTT